CCATAGTTTCACTTGACATTAGGGTTGCCACTTCAGGATCACTGCAGGCCCTGAGGTTTCTGGGTCACGACCTGGGACCTAGGATAGACTCCTGGTAATGTCTTCAAGTGTAATAGATTAAGGACAATCCCAGTTGCTCACGGCTTATTCATCATATACAGAGAAAACTCGAACATCAAGACAGAAACCCAGATCAAGGTGAAACATGTGGATTACTCTTTCTCATTTATTTAGACATAAATAATATTAATTCTAGACTCCTTGTTTCTAACTGAAAGGCAAATGCAGCAGAGCAAAGCTTGAGTGAATCCTGGCACCACAATAATAATTATATTATTATAGTCATTTATATACTGTTTTTTTTTTTCTCTAAAAGGGAGGGTAGAAGGAAACTAACTCAAATAGCTACATAGATCCCCTGGAAAGTGTTCACAAGTTGCAGGAACCAGTCCACTCAGCGTTGCAAAATAGCCGCAAGAGTCTGGTCTTCTAGCTGAGGTTGCAGGCTGCATGCAATCCTTTCTGCTTCCCTGGAGCTGAGCTCACCAAAACTGGAGAAATTGCACCATTGTCTTCTGTCTGGAAGATGACGCATGGAAACCAGAGAGCCAGGGTTAGGATTTGAAATCTGGTTCTAACCATTACAGGCATAAATCAGGCCTGTAATGGTATTCCATAACTATGCTCCCATAGCAGAGGAGGTGCTCTCCCACATTAATGCTTTGTAGACTTGGCGCCATCAGGATGGGGACCCTTGGAATACAAAAGTGGGATCAGAAAGGTTGAATCAAGTTGACACCACAAAGATTCAGTGACATCAAGACGTTGGTGATTAAGAAATGACATGTTTTTGTGCTATAAATCCTGTCCCAGATGGCAAAACAAATGTTGTTATACAATACATTCATATCAGTGTCCAACACGCATTTTCATACCTGAAATTTTATACCTGCTTCTGGGTATATTTGACCTGCTGGTTCTAAAAATTGCACCAGTTTCCCCCTACCGGCTCTAATTTTTGAGATACAGAACATATGCCATCTACCAGAGCTTAGCACAACAGGCTAAACCGCTGTGTTGCAGAAAAATACTGCCGATCAGAAGGTCAACAGTTCGAGCCCAGGTCAGGGTTAAGTACCTTTGGTTAGCCCCAGCCCACCTAGCAGGTTGAAAGCAGAAATGCGAGTAGATAAAATAGGTACTGCTTTTAGCGGAGAGAAGTGCTCTTAAAGACATCCTTGGCATGGAAGATGGAGCAACAGTACACCCCCCCCCCCCCCCCCCCCCCCCCCCCCCCCCCACACACAGCTGGAGTCAAGCACAGCCTCAAAGATGCCGGAAATAAGATGGGAAAAACTGCCTTTACCTCTGTTGTGTTGTCTGTTCTTGTTATCGTATAATCGGTATTGAATGTTTGCCGTATGTATGTTCTATAAAGCCACGCTGAGTCCTCTTTGGGGTGAGAAGGGCGGAGTATAAATATTGTAAATAATACCAGTTGCTATCTCTTCACTCATAGAAAACCATGATTGTTGTTGTTTATTCATTCAGTCGCTTCCGACTCTTCGTGACCTCATGGACCAGCCCACACCAGAGCTCCCTGTCAGCTGTCACCACCCCCATCTCCTTCAAGGTCAAGTCAGTCACTTCAAGGATATCATGCATCCATCTTGCTCTTGGTCAGTCTCTCTTCCTTTTTCCTTCCATTTTCCCCAGCATAATTGTCTTCTCTAAGCTTTCCTATCTTCTCATTATGTGGCCAGAGTACTTCACCTTTGCCTCTAATATCCTTCCCTCCAATGAGCAGTCGGACCTTATTTCCTGAAGTATGGACTGGTTGGATCTTCTTGCAGTCCAAGGCACACACATACATACACAATACTTACTCTCACACAAAACTTTAATACAGAACGTAGGCTGCTATAGCAATTAGCAGAAGGGTAGGTAAAGCTAAAGGTTTTCTACTGATAGGCAGAGCCAGATTCACGGATAATTTTTTTTTTAATTTTAAAACACTGGGAGATAGGACATTGTAAATTATAGGGAGGAGGCTCTGGGAATGAGGAAGGATTTCATTGCACAAACCATAAAATAAAGTGCTTTTAAGGACATTTTGCGCAAAATGTGGTCAGGGAGAATCTTACATTAAATTACTGAAAGGCACATTGGAATAACCAGGTTTTCAAATTCCTCCTGAAGATTGCCAGTGTGGGGGCTTGCCTAATATCTCTGGGGAGTGAGTTCCAGAGCTGGGGGGCCACCACAGAGAAGGCCCTCAACAGAAGGGTAGGTAAAGGTTTTCCCCGGCATTAAGTCCAGTCGTGTCCAACTCTGGGGTGTGGTGCTTATCTCCATTTCTAAGCCGAAGATCTGGCATTGTCTGTAGACACCTCCAAGGTCATGTGGCCGGCATGACTGCATGGAGCGCTGTTACCTTCCCACTGGAGTGGTACCTATTGATCTACTCACATTTGCATGTTTTTGAACTGCTAGGTTGGCAGAAGCTGTGGCTGACAGCAGAAGCTCACGCCGCTCCCCGGTCAACAAGCTCAGCGCTTTAACCCACAGTGCCACCGGGGGCTCCTCAACAGAAGTGTGCCAAAGGTCAAATAAACATAAAGGCATTTATATCAGTTAGTACTGAACTATCATAGTGTTGACATTCTTAGGAATTTTCGTACAATTTCCTTTCAACCACTTGAGCAATCGGACCCCACCCTTTCTGTAAACTAAGAACCAGCCATTCTGGCCAAAGCAACTTTACCTATTCTTTTGGGTTTTATCTAAACCAAATGAAGCGTACACAAAGGTTGGAGATAGGCACCGCACCTGCCTGCCTGGTTGGGTAATCCAGCCAGATGTATGCAGCCAAGCCTTTGCTGACGGTTTGTTCAATAACACAGGCACTCTTGTCTAGAATCATAGAGTTGGAAGAGACCTCATGGGCCATCCAGTCCAACCCCCTGACAAGAAGCAGGAAAACTGCATTCAAAGCACTCCCGACAGATGGCCATCCAGCATCTGGGTTGTTGTAGGTTTTTTTGGGCTATATGGCCATGTTCTAGAGGCATTCTCTCCTGACGTTTCGCCTGCATCTATGGCAAGCATCCTCAGAGGTAGTGAGGTCTGTTGGAACTAGGAAAATGGGTTTATATATCTCTGGAATGACCAGGGTGGGACAAAGAACTCTTGTCTGTAGGAGCTAGGTGTGAATGTTTCAACTGACCACCTTGATTAGCATTTGATGGCCTGACGGGTGGCTTGTTAGTGCCTGGGGGAATCTTTTGTTGAGAGGTGATTAGCTGTCCCTGATTGTTTTCTCTCTGTTGTTTTGCTGTTGTAATTGTAGAGTTTTTTTTAATACTGGTAGCCAGATTTTGTTCATTTTCATGGTTTTCTTTCTGTTGAAATTGTCCACATGCTTATAGATTTCAGTGGCTTCTCTATGTAGTCTGACATGGCGGTTGTGAGAGTGGTCCAGCATTTCTGTGTTCTCAAATAATATGCTGTGTCCCAAACACAAATCAAGGAACATGAAAGGCACTGCAGACTAATTCAACCAGAGAAGTCAGCCATAGCAGAGCACCTGATGAACCAACCTGGACACAGCATAGTATTTGAGAACACAGAAATGCTGTATTCTCAAATAATATGCCTCTAGAACATTGTCATATAGCCCGAAAAACCCCACAACAACCCAGTGATTCCAGCCATGAAAGCCTTCGACAATACATCCAGCCTCTGGGTTGTTGTAGGTTTTTTCGGGCTATATGGCAATGGTCTAGAGGCATTTTCTCCTGACGTTTCGCCTGCATCTATGGCAAGCATCCTCAGAGGTTGACCTCACAACCTCTGAGGATGCTTGCCATAGATGCAGGCGAAACGTCAGGAGAGAATGCCTCTAGACCATGGCCATATAGCCCGAAAAAACCTACAACAACCCAGTGATTCTGGCCATAAAAGCCTTCGACAATACATCCAGCCTCTGTTTAAAAGCTTCCAAAGAAGAAGCCTCCACCACACTCTGGGGCAGAGAGTTCCACTGCTGAAAGGCTCTCACAGTCAGGATGGAATGTTATTTCCTTTATTGTAGTTTGAAGCCATTGTTCCGCGTCCTAGTCTCCAAGGCAGCAGAAAACAAGCATGCTTCCTCCTCCCTATGACTTCCTCTCACATATTTATACATGGCTATCATGTCTCCTCTCAGCCTTCTCTTCTTCAGGGTAAACATGCTCAGCTCTTTAAGCCGCTCCTCATAGGGCTTGTTCTCCAGACCCTTGAACTGCTCCCTCCTCCCTATGACTTCCTCTCACATATTTATACATGGCCCTCATCATGTCTCCTCTCAGCCTTCTCTTCTTTGGCTCTTTAAGCCGCTCCTCATAGGGCTTGTTCTCCAGACCATTGATCATTTTAGTCTCCTTCCTCTGGACACATTCCAGCTTGCTGAAGTCCAAACACCTGGAGGGCCTAAGTCGGTCCAGGCCTACTGTAGATACATTCTAGCTTGGAGGAGGCATTCTTTGAGAGAGGATAGATAGAGGATGTGCCCCTGTTTGTGTCTCCTCACAAACTCTCTTTCCCAGACACCTCCGCGCCTCAGGAGAGGCTGGCCACGGATTGTCGCAATGCATGCCGGTTATTGTAGTCCGTGCTTCGCTACATCCCTACGGAAGCTCGGAAGAAGAGAACTACCTTTCCCAGAAGGCCTCGTTCTGGGATAGGTTCTTGCGCATGTCTTTTTGCGCTCCCGCTCCTTTCCCCCCTCCCTCCTTGCCTGCCTGCCGCCCTTGCCGTTTGCTGTTCCCGAGTTCTCTCAGTATCCTGGGCTGGTCGAGAGCGGAGGGAGGATGGACGGGACGGAACAGCGGGGCTCAGGTGAGAAGAGAAGGAGAAAGGCAATGGAACGCGGCTGGCTCGGCGCGGAGGGAGGGTGGCGGGACAGCAGCAGCAGCCCGTTGCCATGGCAAGGTGTCTCCAAGGGGCTGGGTGGAGCTCTCTCTCTCTCTCCCTCTCACTGAGGTGGGGGCAGGCCCATTGCGTCACTGCCATGGGGGGGGGATTCGAACCTCTGTGGGCGATACCATCTGACTGAGGGACGGGGGACGACCAATAGATTCTATCCCATTCATCAGAAATATTATTATTATTATTATTATTATTATTTTAAAAGGTATTATTTTTATATCTGTAGTCATATATATATATATATATTGTATCAATGTATCTATAAGGCTAAAACTCTTGTGCTAATTCTTGCATCTTCAGCAGGCCTGGGCCAACTTGGGCCCTCCAGGTGATTTGGACTACAACTCCCACAATTCCTAACAGCCTATCGGCTGTTAGGAATTGTGGGAGTTGTAGTCCAAATCACCTGGAGGGCCCAAGTTGGCCCAGGCCTGATCTACAGTGTATACAGTTTGACTCAGTTGAATTTCCATGGCTCAGTGGTATGGAATTGTGGGAGTTGTAGTTGCTCAAAGGTCTTTCTCTGCCAAAAAGTGCTGGTGCCCCACCAAAACGTCAATTTCCATTATTCTATTGCATTGAGCCATGGCAGTTAAAAGTGGTCCCAAACTGCATTAATTGTACAGTGTAGGCGCACCCATTGGTTCCATCCTGGAATTCGTAGCTCAGCATTATCTCCAGAGCCCCTCCCTTCAGCAAAAATATAGTAATATCTATATAAATAAAAACGTAATGTCAGTTTGTGGGATTAACGTAACTCAAAAACCACTGGCTGAATTGACACCAAATTTGGACACAATATATCTATCAGGGCAACGAGTGACCAACACTGAAAAACACAGCGGAAGAAACTTCAAAAGCCAAAAAATAAAAATACATTACAATGCATGCGCAAAACCACATTTATACATATATACACACAAAACACATATACACAGACTGGACCACAGCAACGCGTGGCAGGGGACGGCTAGTATAATACTAATTTTGTGCTGTGGTAATAGTATAATGTATTATATGTGTATATATATCTATATCTTGTAAGCTGCTCTGAGTCCCCTTCGGTTGGTATATATATGTTGTATATAAGGTTGGCATATATAGGTTGGCATATATATGTTGTAAATAAATAAATAAATTTGTGCTATAACCATATATACACACACAAAATACATATACACACAGACCGGGCCACAGCAACGCGTGGCAGGAGATGGCTAGTATTATAATATACTAGCAGTCCCCTGCCACACATTGCTGTGGCCCAGTCTGTGTATGTGTTTTGTGTGTGTATATTTGTGTATATGTGTATATATGTGGTTTTGCGCATGTGTTATAATGTATTTTTTTTGGCTTTTTGAATCCCTTCCACTGTGTTTTTTAGTGTTTTTATGAGTGATGGTCACTCGTTGGCCTGATAGGTGTCTTGTGTCCAAATTTGGTGTTGTCCAGTGGTTTTTGAGTTATGCTAATCCCACAAATTAACATTAGATTTTTATTTATATAGATTGTATACACATCGAATATTGATAATAATATTATCATATCATACACTATAATAATACTAATAATAATACAATGTAATAGTTATATAGTTATATATAATAGTTATATAGTTATATATTTTATATGACTATATAAACATTTAACATTACTATAACTAACATTTACATCCCACCCTTCGGGGTGAGAAGGGTGGGATATAAATGTTATTCATAATAATAATAATAACAACAACAATAATAAACTGTGTTATTCCATACGATGTTGCTGTGGCAATTAAAGTGTTTTCATTGTTCGGTGTGAGACATTTTTTGGTGCAGAAGTTTGTATTAATCCCAAGATGGAAGTAGCCCATTGGAAGTACTAGTTGTCTATTATTATTATTATTATTATTATTATTATTATTATTATTATTATTACCCCGTTTTCTCTCTCTTCAAAGCAGCTCTTTTATCTTTTAAGGTGGCAATTTAAATAAGAGCCTTTCAGCGTGATTCAATTTTTCCCCCCCCCCCCCCATGTTTTGTTCATAGTGTAAGTGATCCCAACAAGAGACAGAAAACCCTCTTCTGTTTGAGGACTGGTGCATGGGTCTTGTGCCAATCTCCAGCCATGGCTCACCTGAGGGAATTTGCCAACCAGGTAAGCGAGAATTACGGAAACCTGTGGTCCGTGGGCCACCAGTAGTTCACAAGAACAAAAATATGGTTCGCAACCTTACCATTACTACATAATTGCCTCGAAACCACATGGCCACAAGAGCGACTGGCCTTGTGAAACCCTCTTATAGTGCCGAGGCAACTGGGATGTTGGGAGGGGGGATGCTGACTACCCACAAAAGATTTATACTACCACATCAGCTCTAGATTATTAAATATGGTTTTCTGCAGGAGAGCAGAGGACGACTACTGGATAGCATGTGTTTTATATCAGAAACTTGAGCCAATGTGGTTTATCCAATGCAGTTTTCTGAATCAGCACGCCAAATAACCAAACCGAATCTAAAGTTGACCAAAAACCAATTTGTAACCCTTTTGGTACTAATGTTGGAGAGTGGTCCCTGGTCAAAGTGGTCCCTAGTCAAGTGGTCCTGGTCAAAAGAGGTTGGGAACCACTGATATAAGCACGTTAACAGAAGCACCCAGTTGAGTTCAATGCACAAGAGCTTGGCCAACATGTGTGCGGACTGTGTCCATCTCCCATTTAAGCCATTGTACTTGAAGCTAATACATTCTCCAGATAATGCCATCTTTGGATTACCTCTTTTAAAACTGGAATTGTGCAGATGTCATCCCCCTCTTGCCATCACTGTAGTGTGTTTACTTTATAAGCGCACAGTGCTTGAGGACCTTGCAGAAAACAGCAGCTTCTGACTTGACTTCCTTGCATTCTTTCATTTTGGTAGCCTTTCAGGGCCCTTCCAGACAGGCTCTATATCCCAGGTATCATAGACTCATAGAATCATAGAATTGGAAGAGACCTCATGGGTCATCCAGTCCAACCCTCTGCCAAAAAGCAGGAAAATCGCATTCAAAGCACCCTTAATTCCAGGTTTTCTGCTTTAAACTAGATGATATGAATTCACACTGCCGGATAAACTGGTATAGACAGGAAACCTGGGATCAGATCCTAGGATATAGGGCCTGTCTGGAAGGGCCCTTAGAAGCTGGAGGAGGGCAGTATCCCTTCCTTATGATTATAGCACAAATTTATTTATTTATTTACAACATTTATATGCCGCCCTTCTCACCCCGAAGGGGACTCAGAGCGGCTTACAAGATATATATATATATATACACACACACACATACATATAATACATTATACTATTAGCATAGTACAATATCAGCATTATATATTACTATATTGTACTATACCATTATATTGTAATATTATTACTACTAATATTACATGTAATATAAAAATATATTTATCAAATACCTTACACAGCACAAGTGTGTGGAGGAAAATGTATAAGCACACATGGATACATTACTATTGTGAGACTTCATATTCTTTCTGATTTATAGCAGCTCTATGGGCACACAGCCATATAACCCAGAATATCCCACAATATCTGCTTTGAACTGGGTTATCTGGGTCCACACAGCCATATATTCCAGTTCAAAGCAGACTACCCACAAAAGATTACTACTACCACAGCTGTGTGGAAGGGCCTAAGATGAACCTATCATAGGGTTTTCTTGGTAGGATATGTTCAAAGGAGGTTTGTCCTTGACTTCATCTGAAGCTGAGAGAATGTGACTTGTCCAAAGTCACCCACAATGAGTTTTCGTGGCCAAGTGTAGATTTGCAATCTGGCCTCTGAGGTTCCATCTACATTGCCATATAATCCAGTTTCTCAGTCTGGATTATCTTCTTTGAACTGGATTATATGGCGGTCTAGCCTGAGAGTCCTAGTCCTACACTTAAACCACTTCCTAAAAATCATGCAGAAAATAGAAGCAAGTGTGGAAAAAAATTGACCTTTCTTCAGTGCAACGAACCATGATACAGAAGAAGTCCAGGGAATAGTTGATCTTCGGTCGTAATTACGTTTATAGTGTGCTTTTGATAGTCTGCTACTATGGCCTCATCTACACTGCCATATAGTGCAGTTTCACTCTGCATTATAGAATCAGTGTATGAGTCTACACCAGGGGTCCTCAAACTTTTTAAACAGAGGGCCAGGTCACAGTTCCTCAAACTGTTGGAGGGACGGATTATAATTTGAAAAAAACATGAATGAATTCCTATGCATACAGCACATATCTTATTTGTAGTGCAAAAAAACACTTTAAAACAATACAATAATTAAAGTGAAGAACAATTTAAACAAATATAAACTTATTAGTATTTCAATGGGAAGTGTGGGCCTGCTTTTGGCTGATGAGATAGAATTGTTGTTGTGTGCTTTCAAGTCGTTTCAGACTTAGGTTGACCCTGAGCGAGGGCCGGGTAAGTGACCTTGGAGGGCCGTATCCGGCCCTCGGGCCTTAGTTTGAGGACCCCTGGTCTACATTGATCATTCCAAACTGCATTATATGGCAGTGTAAGTGGGGCCTGAGTTGACTTTGGTCATTACTGGGTTTATTTAGCACATTATAGCTGCATCCAGTGGGGATTTAAACTCTAGTCTCCCAGTCCTAGTCCTACACTCAAACCACATATTTGACACCCTAAAAATTATGTTGAAAAGATTAGTCATTGTGGAAAAATTGAAAAAAAATTCAGTGCAGTGGACAGTGATACAAAAGAAGTCTGGGGAACAGTTGATCTTCCTGTCGTAATTAAATCAGTAAGTTGACATTGGTCAGTGCTGGGCCTCCTTTAGCACCTTATAGCTAGATCCATTTGGTTTTTAAGTTGTATTTTAACTCCACCCATATAGAGAGAGGCCGGGGGGGGGGGAGAGAGAGCGAGAGCGAGTACACACTTTGGATAGCATAGGAAAAGGTTAACGCCTTTGTGGTGTTTGTTTTGCTGTCTGTGCCCCTGTCCAGAAGATTTCACCTCACTTTCTGTCCCTGTGATCACTG